AGCTCACATATAACTTTTTAAACTATCTAGAGTTTATATTTGGTGAATATGATCTAATAAAAATCCATTTTCATTTTTCTCATATTAAATTTTGAATATATTTTTGAGTTTTTTTTAAACTAATGATGCTAAAATACTGATTGGAATTACATAGAATGTATAGATTCATTTGAGGAGAATTGATATCATCATATGTTAAATTGTCCCATCCATGAAACTGGTAATATTCATCCCTCCACTTCCAAAATAAGCTCCTCATGGGTGGGAATGTGACTATTTTGGTCAGTATTGTATATCCAGCCCATAATAAGGTTCCTGGCTCGAAATTATGAACATATATTTTAGATATAGCTGCAGGCATACTTCATTCTATTGCACTTTGCTTTGCTGTACTTCTCATATATTGTTTTTCCACAAACTGATGGTTTGTGGCATGCCTGCATTGAGCAAGTCTATTGGTGCAATTTTTTCAGCAGCACATGCTCATTTTGTGTCCCTGTAATTCTCACAATATTTTAAACTATTATTGATCTGTTGTAGTGATCTGTGATCAGTGATCTTCGGTGCTGCTATTGTGGGTACGCCCACATAAAACAGCAAACTTAATAGTTAAATATATGTGTTCTGACTGCTTTCCTGATCGTCTTTTCTCCCACCTCAATGCCTCTTTTCTGGTCTCCCTACTTTTTGAGGTGCAAAAATATTGAAATTAGGCGATTAAAAACCCTACACGAACTCTAAGTGTTCAAATGAGAGGAAGAGTGGCATGTCTCTTGCTTTACATCACAAGTTAGAAACAATTACGTTTAGCGAGGACATGTCTGTCACCAAATAGCCACATTGCAAATGCAAAGGAAAAGTTATTGAAGGAAATTAAAAGTACCACTTTAGTGAACACACGGAAGATAAGAAAGGGAAACACAGGCTTATTGCTGATACAGAGAAAATTTTAGTGATCCGGGCAGAAATTAAACCAGCCACAACATTCCATTAGGCCAACACCTAATCCAGAACAGAGCCTCAACTGTCTTCAATTCTGTGAAGGCAGAGGTCAGGAAGCTACAGAAGACAAGTTTGAAGCTAGCAGAGATTGATTCATGAGACTGAAGAATAGAAGTCGTCTCCAGAACATAAAAGTGCAAGGTGAAGCAGCATGCGCTTAATGGAGAAGCTGCAGCAAGTTAACCAGGAGATCAAGCTAAGATTATAGATGAAGGTAACTGCAATTAAACAGTAGGTTTCCAATTTAGACAAAACAGCCCCGTACTGAAAGAAGATGCCATATAAGACTTTCATAGAGATGAGAAGTCGATACCTGACTTCAAAGTTTCAAAGGGCAAGATGATTCTCACCATTACGGGCGTGTGCAGCTAAGTGACCTTAAGTTGAAGCCAGTACTCATATTACCAGTCCAAAAATCTTAGGACTCTTAAGAATGGTGCTAAATCTACTCTGTGCTTTATAAACGGAACAACAACACTTGAATGGCAGCATGTGTATTTTTAGCATGACTTCCTGAGTATTTATGCCCATTATTGAGTCCTACTGCTCAAAAAAAGATATTCTTTTCCTAAGATGACTGCTCATTGCCAATGCACCTGGCCACACAAGAGCACTGAGACGTACAAGAAGAGTTATGTTGTTTTCATGCTTGCCAACACAGCATTCCTTCTGTAGCCCACGGATCAAGGAATACTTTGAACTTTCAAGTCTTCTAATTTAAGAAATATATTTTGTAAGGGTATTGTTTCCATAGATAGTGATTCCTTTGTTGGATCAATTGAAAAGTCAGTTGAAAAACTTCTGGAAAGAATTAACCATTCTAGATGCCATTAAGAACATTTGTGATGCACAAAAGGAGATGGAAATGTCAACATTCACAGAAGCTTAGAAAAAGTTTATTCCAGTCTTCATGGATGTCTTTGAGGAGTTCAAGCAGAGGAAGTAAGTGTAGATGTGGCAAGAGTATTAGAATTAAAATGGAAGCCTGTAGATGTGACTGACTGAAACGCATGATAAAATTTTTCAGATGAGGAGTTGCTTTTAATGGATTAGCAAAGAAAGCAGTTTCCTGAGATGGAATCTACTTCTGGTGAAGATGTTGTGAACATTGTTGAAATGACAACTTAGACTTATATTATTATTTAGACTTAGTTGATGAAGCAGCTGTAGAGTTTGGGAGGATTGCTAGCCTCTGTAACAGGGTACCATGTTACAGAGAAATCTTTGGTGAAAGGAGGTGATCATTGATTTGGCAAACTTCATTGTTGTCTTGTTTTAAGAAATTGCCACAGCCACCCAGCCTTTAGCAACCACTGCCCTGACCAGTCAGCAGTCATGTATATTGGGACAAGACCCTCCACCATCAAAAAGGTGATGGGTGATGGAAGGCTTAGATGATCATTAGCATTTTTAGCAATAAAGCAATTTTAATCAATATGAATCCATTGTTTTTAGACATCATGCTTTTGCATGCTTTATAGATTACTGTATAGTGTAAACATAATTTTTATATGCACTGAAAAACCAAAAATTTTTGTGTCTCCCTTTATTGAGATATGTACTTTGTTGTGGTGGTCCTGAGCCAAACGTACAGCATCTTCGAGGTATACTTGTATGTACCTGTTGCCTGTTAACAAGTGCAGCACTTGTTTGTTTATTACCTATTTGAGATATCAGTTCCTAAGAAAGTCAATTTGTTTCTCTGGAAATATGCCTTAAAATATTCAAACAGAGTAAGACCTTGCTGTAACTTTTTCTGGGTGCATATGTATTCTAGGACTACATTGTTGATGTAATACCATTATAATGATGTTTTTCCAGTGCTTAAATTAATATTTGGATGCATTTCTCTGAGAGATTCCAATGTAATTATATTTTCACTTACTAATCTTACAATCAGACTAGAACTTGGGCACAGATGGGGTTGGAAAAATTGCCTAGATCTTAGAAGTTTCCATAGAGCCCTACCTTATTAATTTGGCAAGGAGTGTTGTTAAATATAAAATATATGTGATGTTTTGCCTATTATGCTTGAAGATAATTAGAATTTTTAAATTCTTATTCCTACTTTTTATTTTCTGTTGTTGATTTAGTAGTTTAATTGACAATATTTCAAACTATTTTGTCTTTCAATTTAAGTATACAATCTTCTGTGGACTCAGTGTCATTCATATGCTAATTTATAATGTGTGAATGTTGGCTTACAGTGAAAGATGAAATGTGATATGAAAATGTTAGATAGAGAGTAGGCAGTTAGGAAGAAGTCAGCCTTGGATTGGAGTTTTTGCTCTAATACTTCAGTATTAACTTAAGTTCTTTAGAGCCTCTGAGTATGAGTCAGCAAGATGGCACATGAAAGTGTCACTATTAGGTATTGCATAATTGTGAGTTCAGTGCTGTATTCCACCAGAAGCAAAAGAGGCATATGACTTTCTAAATATGATGGAAATGTTTTCTCTGTAGGTAACATAAGGGCATAAGATGCATTATATTTACTGTTATTTGTATATATTTATATATTCCTTGTATAAGCAGTACTTGACTATTGTGCATTATAGTGAGTATCAACCACAATAATACTAATGATAATAGCAATATTTATTGAGTGTTTACCTTGTTTCAGGCACTGTTTTAAACAGCTTGTATATATTAGATCATTTAATGCTCATCACAAACCACATGAGACACTAATTTCCCATTTTGCAGATGAGTAAACTGAAGTAAAGGAGTATTAAATTATTTACACAGGCGAGTATGGGTTTGAATCATTCTATACCTTTTATACATTTTTAAAATTAAAATCACACCAAGGTGAAGTACAGTAGTGTGATCATAGCTCACTAAAGCCTTGAACTCCTGGACTCCAGGAATCCTTGCGCCCTAGTTTCCTGAGAAGCTGAGACTACAGGTGTATACCACCACACCTGGCTAATTTAATTTTTTCCCTTTTTTTCTTTTTCTTTTTTCTTCTTCTTCTTCTTTTTTTTTTTTGGAGAGACAGGTTTTGAACTTCTGGTCTTAGTGTTTCTCTCAACTCAGCCTTCCAAAACTCTGGGATTACAGGCGTGAGCCACTGTGCCTGGCTCTATACTTTTTTATGAATTAAAAATTGATATTCAAAGCCCACTTATTCTTTGGGTATAGTTAGTAACCACCCAAATAAATATATCTCATCACACATGAGCCTTCTCATCTCCATTTTCCCGCTAGAGAACTCTCAACACTTAGTTTAAAGGCTAAATCTGTCTGAGAGCCATATTCTGTGGGCAGTTATTGATGCTGCCTTTTGTTTCTTTTAAATGTTGAGAAATTATGTTTATTTGGGGAGAAAATAAAAGATGCACAGAAAATATTTGATTTTCAACATGATTATGTGTGGAGATACTAATTTTTTCAAAAGTGAACTTATTAGCAGAATGGGTATAAAAGAACATTATATCTGACCAAAACATGTATACTTAACTATTTTAAGAAGCATAATGTGTAACTGATATGTTCTGGTACCCATTAAGCCTCTATAGCTTTGATCTTAAGTTTAGTTTTTTTTTTTTTTTTTTGCTTTTCATTTCCATATCTTCTATGCCATTTATCAGTTTTTTCATACTTGAATGAAATCTTTGTTTATTTTAAAATGATTTCTTGCAGTTTCTGGTCCAGTAAGTATACAATAATTTCAGGTCATGCAGACTTCTACTGAAATTTGAAAGAGCATGAAGTCTTTGTAGGTGATCTTAAGATAACATTGTTCTTGGCCTTATGATGAACAGTATATGTATATCAGTTTTGAGACATAATAATTACTTTAATTTTTTGAAGGATTTGATTGCATTTAATCTCTTGGTTTGATGAAATGTTAGAATATAAAGGAAATAAATTTTCCTTCTTAAAAATGTTTTATGAAGGTTTTCTCTCCCTGTGGTACTTCCTCATGGCTTGATATTATGTCATGTATAATTGGATTGACGCTCAGCCTGAATATTTCTTTTTCTTCTTGGCAGCATGGGGTAACCTTGGAAATGTTCTGAAGAGTCAGAGTAAAATTTCTGAAGCTGAAAGCGCCTATAGAAATGCTTTGTACTACCGCAGCAACATGGCTGACATGCTTTATAATTTGTGAGTATGCCTCACTTTCTCTGTTTGGAATCATCTTTGAAACCTGCGATAAGAGGAACTATTGATTTAACTGCTGAAAATGGAGATGATGATAGCTTTTTTTTTTTTTTTTTTAGTGAAATAGTCTTTTCGTTATTGATGCTTCTGAAACTAGTAGGTGGATGGTATTTGTGATTTCTTTGTTTTGGGCCACATCATCAATAGTCATGTCTTCTGATGTATTTTGGCTGAATTTTTTTTGGAAGTAGTATGCCATGTAACATAAAATTTGGGTTCAGTGCTTTTAGTTTTTTCTTTTTAAACTTTGTTCCTTTAATACTTACATGGGTTTAGAAAATAAGCCATATCAGAGTATAGAAAAATAATCAGAATAATTTTTTTGTAGGGTTAACTTATTATAGTACAGGCTTTCTTCCCTAGGTGAGTGTTCTAGGAACCCATCTGCATCAGTGTACCAGCTAGCATTGTAGTGAGAAGCTGCATTCGGCCTCAAGGAATTTTTCATTGGGGGGGGCTATTTCATTGGGTTCACCCATTTTATGATGGGTGACTTGCAAGTGCACTTGCCCACACTACACTGTGTGTTAGCAGTTTGGGACCAAAAATAGCATGACCCCTGTCCCTCACACTCTTTATTCACCTGTTCTCACCCCAAATGACATTTTTTCCCTCCTCTGGATTACAAAAATTCTCAAAGGGAACGGTTTTGCTTATGGGGAAGAGATGAAGCAAAAATGGCAGAAGCCCTAAAAGGCATCAAAGTTAACAAGTTCAAAAACTGTTTTGGGCAGTAGAAAAATCATATCAATAGGTGTATTGCATCAGATGGACTACTTTGAAGGTGACTGAAGTTTAAACTTGCAAGAATAAATACAAATTTGTTCATAAATAAATTCTGGGGGTTTTTTGGGGGGTCCCTCTCATGTATAGAATGTATGCTAAACCATGAGTGTTAGCAAGTAAGATTGTGATTCTTCTTTTCTTTTCCTCTTCAAAAGTACTGATGATTATCAGCAAGGTTGAAATAATGGAATAATTTAGAATATCCTTATATGTTGGCTTAGAAACATCCCTAGGGGAAAAATTGGTTCTCTTCTTTGAATGGAAAGTCCTAGCTGGTGTGTTGAGATGTAAGTGAATAAATGCAAACCAAACCCAAATGCCTTCTTTGACTCATATATTTATGAAAACATTTTGTTTGTAAGTGACAAATATCTAGTTTATCTTGCTTAAAGAAAAGAGAATTTATTAAGTCCCATAACTGAAAATTCCTGGGGTGACTAGATGAAGGCACAATTAGATCCAGGTGCTTGATTATGTTTCAGGAATTTGTCTTTGGTTTCCTCTGGGTTCATTCCATTTCCTGTGGGACTCTGAAACAATAGGAGGGATAACTCTTGCATCTTTATGAATATACCATCTTGACTCTTTTCAATCTCATAAGAAAAGAGAACTTTTTTGTCTTGGTGTCTGTTCTAATCCTGGAAAAATGTTTCCTGGTTGACCCTCCTGTGGTTGTATATCCTCTCTTGGATGAAACTATGGGCAGTGTGGGAGGGGCTGTAAGATGTCTCAGTTGGCAGTACCCCCAGATTTAGAACAGCATGGACAGGGACCTGTCAGTTTTCTATACGAAGGTGACCGTTGTGGGAAAAATTAAATGTGAACTGTTGGATGAATGCTGTGTAATATTGTCAGTATCAAACTAATTTGTCAACTTTAATTTTTTTTTTTTTAAATTGGAGTCTCACTCTGTTGCCCAGTCTGGAGTGCATTGACACACTCACAGCCACCCCAGCATCTACCTGCTGGGCTCCAGTGATCCTTCTGGATCAGACTTCCAAGTAGCTGGAACTACAGGCATGTGCTACCATGCCCGGCTAATTTTTTGATTTATTGTAGAAGTGAGGTCTCACCAGATTTCCCGGGCTGGTCTCGAACCCGTGGGCTCAGGCAATCCACTCGCCTCAACCTCCTAAAGTGCTGGGACCACAGGCTGAGCCGCCAAGCCTGACCTTTGTGTGTGTGTATTTTTGAACTTGAATGTTTAATATATGTTTATGTTCAGGTTACCTAAGTCTTTGTACCTAAATCCTTTGTAAATGTAAAAGCACAGATATAAAAAAAATGCAAAACTACATAGAAAAAAATCTAGATATTTAAGGAAAAACAGACAGGATGAACTCAGTTTACTTTCGTGGTCATACATTTACCTTGTCTTTAACTTCTTAACTTTAACCCTGGGATCTCCATCTAGCAGCCTAATAAATTAGGTCATTAGATGTGTTTTGTGTTAACTTGTACGGTGTTTAATTTTTTTTATTTGTTGCCTGAAATTCCTTCACATGGAGCCCACTGATCTAGTTTTTACCATCATCCCTTCTACCCACTTTCTGTTGTGTTTTCTGCTTTACTGTGTGTGTGTGTGTGTGTGTGTGTGTGTGTGTGTGTGTGTGTGTGTATGTTATATATTATCATCTTCTCTCCTGATAATGAAAACATATGTCTAGCTACTCCTGCAAAGATTCATGCCCTCTTCATCAAAATAATGTTTTATATATGTGTGTGTGTGTGTGTGTGTGTGTGTGTGTGTGTGTGTGTGTGTGTGTGTATATATATATATATATATTTTTTTTTTTTTTTTTTTTTTTTTTTGATGGAGTATCCCTCTGTTGCCCAGACTGGAGCGCAGTGGCACGCTCCTGGCCATCGCAGCCTCGACCTGCTGGGCTCCGGCGATCCTTCTGCCTCAGCCTTCCAAGTAGCTGGAACTACAGGAGCCCGCTACCATGCCCAGCTAATTTTTTGATTTATTGTAGAGATAAGGCCTCGTCAAGTTGCCCAGGTGGGTCTCGAACCCGAGAGAACTCAGGCAATCCACTCACCTTGACCTCTCAAAGTGTAGGATTATAGGCTGAGCCACCGAGCCCAACCTGTTGCTATATTTTTTATTAAATGTACTTTTATTTTATGAAAAATAATCTCATTAGTTTAATAAATTTACGCAAATATTCTTTATATTTTTGTATCTGAAAATGATGCCAAAGGAGCTTCTTGCCTTCAATTTACTTCTGGTGCCTATTCTCTATACATTGGGGAAGAAAGTAAACTGAACAACTAGCACCTCTTTAATGAACTTGTTTTTCTCTCTTATTTACAACCATGGTTAAAAAGTTGTTGACCTCTTAGTGGTAACCTACTCGGCAAGAACTCATAGCAAATGTGTTTATCTAGACTTATTCTTTATTGATTAGAGACATTTATTCAATTAGATGATTCCACTATATACATAATTTTAAAATCATGTCTTATCACTTTGTCTGTGGATACATATATAAACTATGAAAGCATATGGATAGATCTTCCCAAACTCCAGTGAAAAATCTTTACTAGAGAAATGGTTATTAACAGTATCTGGGTTTTGTTTTTCTTAATTGTAGGAAATGGAATATGTCATAAGTGCTATATATAGGGTGTCAAAAATATATTTACATTTAAGAGATGTTGTCTACGTATTGCTTTTCAAAGATGAATTGGAGCCAGGCTTGGTGGCTCAGCCTGTAATCCCGTGCCTTTGGGAGGCTGAGGTGAGTGGAT